CAAACCAGCAAGCAGCCTCGGCGCCGAGGTCCAAGGTCTGCTGAAGAGCAAGAAAACATTGAAGGGCTGGAAGATGCCGCAGACCCAAATTCAAGAGTCGCGGCGCCAAACCTGCTCCCAAAGCCTCGCCCCAAACCCAAACCAATCACCAAGCAGCCTCCTTGCCAAGATCCGGCCTCTGTTGAAGAGCAAAGAAACATTGAAGATGCATTGTTTATCCGAAAGTCCACAAGACGCCGACAAGAAAAGGTCAGGGAGGCACCACCTGCACAACTACGTTTGGAAAAAGATGCGTTGAAACGAAAGGGCGCCAAAAGGGGCGCCAATGACATTACAAATGCACCGAGTAGAAACTGAAAGATATGTTTCGGTGAAAGGGCACCAATGAGATTACAAATGCAGAGTACTTAAGTGCAATTGTGTTGTGCCAATCCCAAACAAGTCATTGCATGAAAGGTCTGCCTTTTGTATTGCAAGGTGACTTGGCTTAGTGGTTAAGGTGGGAGGTGTACTTAGTGTATATAAGTATGCCCTGGGTTCGAATCCCAACAAGTCATTGCATGGCGACTACCTGGTTTTTTTCAAGTTCAATTGTGTTGTGCCAAGTGCCATGTCTGGGCCCAGATTGTGACGGCTGGAGACTGGGTAGTCAACATGTCAATGGAGAATTTCTTAGTAACTGGTTACGTTTAAATGACAGGGGCGCCGAACAAAAAGGGCGCCAATGACATTCGAAGGATAGTTGAAACGACAGGGGCGCCGAAACAACTTAGGCACGCCCATGACATGGCTAAGTGAAAGATCTCAAGTAGAAACAACTGTTCAAGACTTCGATTCAATGTTCAGTATAAAAACAAATGATTTAGTTGTCATCTTGACCCTCTCCCTTGGGCACCGCAGCACGAATACTCTTCCGAGCATCCTGAAGCTCCAACTCCGCGAGTTCCAGGCCCCTGAGATGCATTTCAAGTCGGTACAACTCCTCGTGTTTTTGACGGCGCAGCAGCTCCAATACTTGTTGGGGGTCCCTACACCGGGAAAGTAGGTTGAGAGCAGATTTGAGCCACTCTTGGCGGTGCTTCACCCCATGACCATCCTAATAAAGTGAGGTCAGTAAGAAAATTGTAGTCAGAATGGCTGACCTTGTTTCTGGGAAACTCTTCACATTGTTGCCTTACCGAATCAGGATCAGCCCAGATGTATTCAAAGTTGTCTAACTGAGGGATGAGCAAAGGCGCACCACTGTGACTGGAGGATGCCTCAGGCACAGGGAGTGTTGGTCGGGTCATGTTTCTTGGGGTGGGATCGGGGCCTGGAAGGGGTGGTCGGGTCATATTCCGTTGCTTGTTGGGCATTGCATCTGTTGCTCCCTGCGCCGCAGGGTGAGGTGGCCAGCTCATGTTTCGCTGCACAGTGGGCAGATCAATTGGCGCGCCAGTTTGCTGGTTCATAGTTGGCGCCGGTGCATCTGGTCGAGTCAAGTTGCGCTGTTTCAGAGGGACAGAAGTTTGCGTCTCGCCTGGCGCGGGCATAAGAACTGCAGCTGTCACCCCAGCTGGACGAGTCAAGTTTCGTCGTTT